CCATCGGTGATCATTGGTGGGCAAGTGGTCATATTCTATTATTTTATAAGCATGTAATTCCTTTAAGGGCCGACCTGGCGTAGTGCCGGGCTGTACCAGGATGGCTTGTTCTTCGATGTCTGTGGCTTTTAGTCGACTTCGGCACCAAACCGGGTTGGCACCCGGACGGGGGTGTAAGGGAGCCGACCCCTCTGATAGGGGATCGAGGTGCCGACCTTGCACGGTAAGGGACGAGATGCCGACGCTGGGTTCACCCTTGTCGTCATCCTCGTTAACCCTGACTTTTACTCAGATCGGCACCTACAGACAGTTTTGGTGACCGGCTCTTCCGATCCGACCGGTTACCATCCGACTGCCGATCTCTCAGACCGGCCTTTTCATAGGAGCCGAACTCGGATATCAACACACCTATTGGCCATGTTTTTGGGAGCAAAAAATGTGATGAGGATATGTATATTATGTGAAATATAAAGACGAGTCAATGTTGGAATTTTAACTACAACCAAAGCTTAAGCCAGGAAGCCCACTTCTCATCTTCACAGGAGAAGCTTTTTGTAATATCATCCCAACCCATTCCGGAGTTGTTTGATTTTAAAAGGGCCAGACTCGCATAAGTTTTCATCCAGACATGCATTTTCGAGGATATGTGTGGCTCCGCCCGAATTTCACATCCTGGAAGAAACTTCTTCATTTTCTTCTCCAAAAAAAATGCGTATCCCGTTCTGAAGCCATTTTCTGTCTTCCAACCCTCGACTACAATCTCCTTCAGAGCATTAATTAGGGCACGCTCTTCTGCCCTTGTCCAAACATGGCGTTTTGAGGTGGAGCCGCCCTCTTTCCCGGTATCCGATGTAGCTGACGGTTCCATGACAAATATCCTGTGGCGACAATAGTTTTGTAGCAATTTTTTTTTTTCTTTTTTTTTGGATAATACAGAATTTCCAGTATATGAAAAATGACGTTAAACAAAATGATGATATAATGCACATGAAGAAATATATAGGGAAACCACAAACACAAAAATATTGAATGTCGATAATCAACATAACAACATTTCCAACAACCTGACTTAAACAAAAAATAAAAAATAAACATTGCCTATAAGAACATTTATCACAATTACTTTGTTTGAGAAGATTCTTATGAAAGTACACATTGTGTACACAAAAATTATGTTTGTTTATCCATTAGGGTACACCGCCCTGCCAATCTGTGAACATTTGTTGGGCTAAGAGGTCACGCTTTTGTGTCCATTCGTGGCCGCCTTCCACTTGATCTATGTAGTCGTCGTCACACGTTCGGTTGGAAGGTACATGGAATTATGGAATCTCATTCTCTATGGGGTCTTCGGGCATTGTGTTACGTATAAAATTGTGAATAAGCGCGCACGCCATGATAATGCGATTTTGGGTCTGAATGGGGGTAAAAAGAGTTACTCCTAAGAATTGTCCAACGCATTTTCAAAATGCCAAAAGCACATTCAATCGCGTTTCTAGCTTTGGCGTGCCGAAGGTTATAGAGTTCTCTAAAGTTTTGTGGAGCGCGGGGCCCTGTACCCCATTCATCTAAGTGATATCTCACACCCCTATATGGCGATAGAAAGCCAGGACCATTAGTGTAACCACCGGCCACCAAATAATAGTTTCCTGCGTTTTAAACGATTGTGTTATGTTTAATTTAATGTTTTCTCAGATGGGTGCTATTTTACATATGTAATGTATATAAGTCGGGGGAATACCGTTTGGGACTCGGAGAGAATTTGCCCTAGTTACTGCATCTCTCAGTACTCAACTATCCGCAGCGGACCCCTCCCATCCACAAAGCAAGTAGATGAAGTTCATGTTTCTATCGCACACCCCAAGTACATTAACTGCTACTTGACCCTTTCGATTTCTATATCTTCCCTTATCTTTTGACGGGACTCGAACATTAACGTATGTACCATCTAGTGCTCCTAGACACCCCTAACGAACAAAAAGAAAAAATTAAAAAGTATTAGTTTGGAAGAAGTAGAGAAAACAAAATTGACTAAGCGTTGTTAAGGGTCTTGTGAGCTAGGCTACCTTGAACCATTTCCAACTTTCATCTGAACAATCATCCTCAATTGGCGTAGGTGTGGCGGCTAGGTCGGTGTGAAGGCGGATTACCGCATCAAGTACACGGTTAAAGTACTTGCTTACAGTTCTACCCGATCTCGTAAAATCAAACTTCAACGTGACGTTTTTCTTGTGATGTGCGAGGATTGAAAGAAACATAGCAACTTGTTCACTCGGTGCAACGTTTCTAGATTGAACAAGACCCCCTTTGTTTTCAAGGAAGAAACAAAGGCGACCAAAACAGTTTCTGTCCATACGGAGGTTCTCAAGGCAAGTGATGTTGCTGACGTCCACTAGCCTTTGCATGTGACTCACTTGAAGGGGCACTCTATCCCTCAATCAGTATGTGAGTCCGCTAGTCAACGAACGTCGACGGCGGCGAGAGAGTATGAATTTGTGATAGTAGTAATTAGCTACTATGAAAAAAAAAACAAGCACCAAGAACAATCTCTTCCAAAAGAGTGAGAATTAGTAATTTGTCTCGCAAGTTATCCATCTACAAAGATCGAAAAACACACGGACAACACTAATTCAATGATCTTAATGTTGGCCTCTACGAACATTGTAAAAATACTAATCATTTTCATATGGTTATTCCATTGAGCNCTTAAAACAGTGGCCACCTCTAACAAAAAACATTTACTTGAACAAATTGCAGACAACTTACAAAATCAGTCAGTTACACTATTCTCATTCACTATTCTCATTTTGATTGCTATACTCGAATTAAAACACACAAGTAATATTTAAATGATTGTAAAATCAGTCAGTTTCATATGCAGACAACTTACAAAATCAGTCAGTTTCATATGCACTCTTGCATTGCTATACTAGAATTAAAACACACAATTAATATTTAAATGATTGTAAAATTATATTTACTTGGCTATTATTAGCTTTCCACATCTGTTTCATGTTTTCTTTTTCAACTATCTAATGTAAGTACATATAATATCAAATTAACAGAACTAACATTTAAATAACTATAATTTTTTCAACATATAATACTTTCAAATTAACATCTCATAATCTAATAACTAGCATATTTGAAAGTAACATTTCACAATATAAGTACACATCTTTATTGAAAAAACCTAAATATATGGGCTTTAAGATAACCTATAGCCCAATAGGCAATTGGACCTAATCCAATTAATGATATAATTAAGTCTAAGTCCAATTAAATTTAATTATATATTTTCTATCGAATAGAAAATAATCTCATTACTAAAATTAAATATTCCAATCTAATTGAATATTTAACACTCTCGATTCACTCGTAGCCGGAAAATAGATTGCATATTGTGTGACCCTATAGGCCGTCATATATTGACATAAATCTAATTTATGTTCCTCACGAAACTCCTAGACTGCGTCGAAGGACGAACTCAAAATATGAAGTACGTTTACATAGACAAAGCAAACAAACCTTTCGTGTAGAACTCAATAGTGATACGGTCCCTTCATTCACGAACCACTCGATTAAGCTTAGAATTTGAACATGTGTCTATCCAAACAGCTTAATCATTTTATCTCATCTCACTGGTTGATTTCAATTAATTATATTTGAACACCATTTCAAATATAATCACGTGCATTGGCCAATGACTTTATCAACCCAGTATATAGAAAACGAGTGTTCTCTCGAAACTATATTCGAGGAATGAATCTTATCTTGGCTCAACTACCAATTCCATGTATATTGTGACCTACCCAACACAAGCCCTTATCTACCCATAAGGGCGTAAGCTTTGGACTCGGTCTAAGTAAATCACTCTATACATGAATTGCGTATTGACCTCAAGTCAAAGGACTATTATACCATTCCACACACCGATACTCCCATAGACACATAAACAAATGGTTTATCGGTAGGGTATACCAATACTCTCCAAAGTGTCCATGTGTCCATCACGAATAACAATTATTCATAGTAGTGAGACATACTATATTCTCAAAGAATGTGATGCAGACCACATGTCAATCTATCACGTATCATTAATATCCCTTTTCTTAATGATCATCGATTGAGGTAATTTAAGAGTTATACTCTATCAATTAACATCTCACTCTGTTAATGACAGTATTAACTCAAGGGAGCCATTAATTAATAAATTACAGACAATCAAAAGAATTCATCAATTAATGCAAAACCAAGAATATCATCAAATATAATATGAATGTGATCAAGTACATTTGTCCCAAAATAGATTGTCTCTAGGACACATATACTAACATTTCAGCCCATATTAGGATCTCAAAACATATAAAAATATCATGAGAACAAACCAGCTTTTATTGAACAAAGGGCTCATGCTGCTCTTTTGCTTGAAGTTTCTTTAACTTTAACTATTTCACACCGTGTAACACCAAAAAGCCTTTTACTCCCCTCCCTCTTTGTAAATAATATAAACACATTGAGAGGCAAATAAGCAGTTTCTTTAAATACTCAAAAACCTAATAACAGACATAAGAGAATTCAAATTCCAATTGTACTTGCAAGCTTTAAGTTCACAGCAACATAGATTATAACCACATTAAAAATATAGCACAAGTTCAGCCAGGCTTTCAGCTTCAACCGCAAGCACCTTCCATTGTGATTTTTTCTAAAATCAGTTGCATAACACAAACTCCACACACCAAGACTGACCTATAAATCCCATTCACACACTTCCAGGCACTTAAACAACACATTAAGACACCATTAATTTACTTTAAATCACACGCTTCCATTCGTATCATTGTTTTTCAGGCTAAACCACATATTTCTTTACAACAATTTCACCACATCAACTGTAATGAAAACTACTAACACTTCTATCTGACAACTCATGAATTTCAGCATGTAAACTCAATGAACAGAGCCTCCATCATTATATCCAAAACGACGCAGAACAACAACAAATGATAAGAAGCTGTTTACCTTCACTTGGAACGGAGAAGAGACGAGAGCTTTTGGCGACTGGAGATGAGGGTGTCTTCAGAGAACCAAACCTTTTCGGAAGAAAATAAAAAATACAGAAAAATCGAATTATAAACAGCGAATCTTCATTGAGGCTAATTAAGGGAAAATTGAAATAAAAAAGGTTAAAATAGAGATTTTTGAGCTCACCTTTAGGCCCGACGGAGAATCAAAAGCGTAGAGCTTCACAACAGTGTCGTCGTCCTTTCTGCAGAAATTAGGGCAAATGCTCGATTTGAACCTTTGTACCACGAATCCTCCGACAAACGGATAAAGAAATGGAAATGGAATTGCTTAGTATGGCGACTGTGAGAGAAGCGTACCTTTAGGCGTGACGGAGATTCCGAAGCTTGCACCTCCTACAGCAATGGCGTCGTGTTTCTTAAACAACTAGGGCAAAAATGGCCGACATCCCGTTCTTAATCTGGTGCGAGAGTTGTAAATTGAGGCAAATTAAGGGGTATGCTGGTCAGTTCAAGCAACATTTTGAGGGTAGAAAAGGAACCGAAAAAACGGGATTAAATTATCAGGTCTGAGGGGCGGGATTTTTTTGTCCCAAGCTGCCGGATGGAATGCTGCCACATCATTGCCATGTCATTAGTAAACGTAGGATAACCGGGACTAATTATCTTATCATGTCCTATCTGCAAAATAAACGCTGCCTGAGAGTCTACGTTTCCAAAACATTTTCTCCTTTTCTCCCCCACTACCTTCCAACCCAGCAGTATCCCTTTGCACACCCAACTCCCAAGGCCTAGTAAAAATCCGTATATAAACCTAAATTTCAATCAAATTTACTCGACACTTAGACTGAATCCAAGCGCAAATCCCATTCATGACTGTGATGGCGCCACCTTCTCCGAATGAGGTATGTAGAGCTTCTATTCGTCGATCGCAACGCCGAAACATCTGCAAGTTCTGTTAGTGTGTGAATTGCAAGCACCACAAGCACTCTTGCCTTTTTGTACGACCTATTGAGTGTTATTGGCTGAAAACGACTTGCTTTATAATGAATTGGCTTTGCTTCGTTTCGTGTTTGTCTGCGTGTGCGATCAGCTGAATGGGTTCATGTGAGTGGGTTTTGATGCTTAAGGGTTTTCTCGTTTTTGGCAGCAAGAGGACGAGGACATGTTGGTCCCGCGATCGGATTTGGTGGAAGGGCCTCAACCCGCAGAAGGTATGTCGGTCGTTTTTGCTGCAAATATTCGTTTCTCTATTTTGGATCAATTTACTATGATAAAAGGGATATTGGCAACTCCATCCTATAAGTGCAAGAAACGAGGAACTTTGAGAGTCTATAGACTATAAGGGAAAGATTTTTTTTTTTTTTTTCTAAAGAAATTCATAGTGTTTTTTTACCCCTTTACTGGAAACCATAGTCTTATTTATTTTGTTTGGTGTTGTTCATTTAACAGCGTAGGTAGAAGAAAAATAGTGAGTTAACAGTGGTTTATTCACCATGGTAAAAATCATTATTTGCTCTTTTGCTATGCATATTTTGGGAGTTCCTCATTGCTGAAACTCAGGCTATGGATAGTATTCATTCCACAGTAATAATTTGTGAGATGAGAGCATCATAAGGAATCTTTTTTGAATCATACTATCTTGCTACAACTATAAAACCATATGCAAGTCCATCATGAATAACATTGGTCTTCTTTACTTTTATCTTCATACTTCTGGTTTGTTCCATCTGTATGCAGTACAACCAGAAGCAGCAGAAAGTACTGCAGAAAATCAGCCAGCAGAGGGTCCTTGTACGACCAAGTTCTGTTGGGCCATCAAAAACGTTTCTAGACTGAATACGAAGAAGCTGTACTCTGAAATATTTGAACTCGGTGAATATAAATGGTAATTTTGAATCTGATAGAATTTGGGACCATCGGTGTATTGTTGCGCAACTTGGTAAAAATTGTATCAATCGCAAAAACATTTCCATTTATGCATGGCAGGCGGATTCTTATATTTCCGAATGGGAATAATGTTGAACATCTATCCATGTATTTGGATGTGGCTGATTCGGCATCTTTACCTAATGGATGGAGTAGATATGCCCAGTTCAGTTTGGCTGTTGTTAATCAAGTTCATGTCAAGTATTCAGTCAGAAAAGGTTCTTAGACTCCTTTATATTTCAGTTTCTTATTTATTCCACTGTTAAGTTTTGTCACACCTTAAGCTACTGCTTTGGTTGTTAAACCCTTAATATAAAGGTGGAATGAATGAATTTATAAGGTCTGCTATGTTTTGTATACTTTTGAGAACTTTAAGTTGAAGGCATTGTTCTCAATGGCCGTGCAGATGATGTTGAAATACAGATTTGAGTAGTAAAATGATATTCATTTTTTCGGTTTTGCTTTTATTGTATGTTGGATTGGATGTCCTTTGTGATTGAGCTATGTTGTATCTTAATTGCAGAAACACAGCATCAATTCAATGCCCGAGAAAATGATTGGGGCTTTACATCCTTTATGCCACTTGCGGAACTTTATGATCCAAGCAGAGGTTATCTTGTCAATGACACCTGCGTAATTGAAGCTGAGGTTGCCATCTTTAGATCCATGGATCCATGGCTATACAATTCAAAGAAAGAAACTGGTTTTGTGGGACTCAAAAACCAAGGGGCTACCTGTTATATGAACTCTCTTCTCCAAACATTATATCATATTCCTTATTTCAGAAAGGTCAGGCTTTCCATCAGGACTATGTAAAATATATGAGCTTATATCTATATATCATGGTCTTCATCAAAATGTGTCATGTCTTTATTTTTGTTCAGGTTGTATATCACATGCCAACTAATGTCAATGATATGCCATCCTCAAGTATCCCATTGGCTTTGCAGAGCTTATTTTATAAGCTCCAATACAGTGACAGCAGTGTTGCAACAAAGGAGTTGACAAAATCCTTTGGGTGGGATACATATGATGCTTTCTTGCAACACGACGTGCAAGAACTCAATAGAGTTCTTTGCGAAAAGCTTGAAGAAAAGATGAAGGTCCCTAGCAATAGAATTATAGTTTTTAACTAGTCGTAATTACCTTTAAACTGGGTTTATTTTAAGCTGACCGTTGTATTATGTCATCAGAGAACTGTTGTGGAAGGCGCTATACAGCAGTTATTTGAGGGCCATCACATGAACTATATTGAATGCATCAATGTGGAGTATAAATCTAGCAGAAAGGAGTCATTCTATGGTACTTGAACACAGCTTACACGTCCTTGGCTGCTGCTTTTATTCTGATAAATTATAAACATCTGTTCCTCCATGTGTCAGATCTTCAACTTGATGTTAAGGGCTGTGATGATGTCTATGCCTCATTCGATAAGTATATTGCAGTTGAACATCTTGATGGCGACAACAAATATCACGCAGAACAGTACGGTTTACAGGTGAATGGATCAAACTGGGTATCACAGATGTTGTTTTGCCTGTTCGTATGATTGATCATCAGTGAACTTCTATTTAGTGTAGAGTTTGTCAACTGAGCTAAGCTCTGCTTGCCAGTTCATGGTTTTATTAGCTGGGATGCGCAGCATCCTGTTTCGGCTGGGATATATAGCTATATGCAATGAGTTATGCCACCTGATATCTTTTTACTCATTGTTGTGCTTATTCAGGATGCTAAGAAGGGGGTCTTATTTATTGACTTCCCCCCAGTTCTCCAGCTTCACTTAAAGCGGTTTGAATATGACTTTGCTCGGGACATTATGATTAAGGTTAGCAGAAATTAAAGAGTGATATCTGTCATTTCTGTTCTGATTTATGGTTCCTGGTTCATTATATCTATGCTATGTGATAGAATGGATGAAGACGAAATAGATATGTCCTTTTATTTCGAGTTCGGACATTATCTCTTAACATTACAACTTGTGTCAGGAGAGAAGGTTGAACCTTGACAGGTAAAAGTAGTTTATGAAATATGATTCTGTAAGGTCAAGCTCATTATTCTGGATTAGCATTCTTGGATATGGATAAGCTTTAGATAGCAGCTGCACCATTCTTCGATTTCTTTATCTAAGTGTTGTATTTGTGTACCACTTGCATTATTGGAACCTGTTATAGACTGCTTATATTGTCTATTGTTATATTACCTTAAATAAATTATTGGGCTTTAGGCCCGTAGGGTTAAAGGTGTGCCCATTAAGGTTATAATATTGCTAGGTTAATATTCTATTTAAGTTAGTCCTTACTCTTTAGGGAGGGGATGAGAGATTTATCTCTTAATAACATTGGCTATTGGGCAAGTTATTCTTGCTGGGCTACTGCTTACTGGAGATACTTCTTGTTCATCCCTATTATTACATCGTCCATAATATATGTAATTTCTCTTTCCTAATACTTTACTCATAACATTGTCGGACCTGATGTATGGAATTCCGAGTTGAAGCCATGATGAAGGGTCAGAAGGTGCTCAAGCGCCGACTCACTAATGTCGAGGAGGCCATCACCTAACTTAGGGAGTTGGTCACACGATATTTGTCAACCAAGCAAAACACTGAAACAAGCGACACCTCTCAAGTCAATTAAGTCCACATTCACAGCTTCACGCCACCTGGCTGCGCAACGAATAAGATACGGTATTCTTGTGGAAATGATCGGACGGATGGCTAGAGCTAAGCAATATTTCACGATCCATAGCACGCGTGATGAGTTTCAAGTTCTTGCCTCCCTTGTTGGCATTACCCTTCACTGGATGCAACGGCTATACTGCTATACCTACGGACACCTACTCTTACATGGCCGCAATTCAAACCTGAACTCATGGAGTGGTTTGGTGGTGATTTGTCAGCACCACTAGTCGAGATGTTGGTTGCCTTCGTCAAGTAGTTATGATGGATGAATATTGCTATGAGTTCCACGCACGACCTGCACACATTCCAAGACCCCATATCCAGTTAGGTCTATATCTCAATGGGTGCTCTAGGAAGCGATTCGCGGCCGTGATGAGTTTCACTTACGGTCTGTTCCAGGACTATCCCCCGAGATCTAGTTAGGCCTGTTTCACAATGGGCTGCACTCTACAGGAAGCGATTTGTGTCTGGAACCAGCTGAGGGCGTGTTTGTATATAAATATATCTGCTCAAAATGAATTTTTCTTATTTACCAGATTTAATTTTAAAAAAAAGTAGTATGGTTGTTGTTAGTGGAATTTTGAGTTTATATTAATATAATATTTAAAATAAATAATCAATATTGATTTGATGTAAAAGTAGGAGAGAGATAATGTGAAGTGATGATTAGTTAAAATTATGTGAGTGGGTGAATAGTAAATTAAAGTTAGATGTTATATGTAAGAATGATTGGTTGGTATTATTTAATTATATTGGTAATATTAAGGATAGTGGAGTTCAGTTAAATTTTGAGTATGAATTGAGTTTTTTCATATACAAATACACCCTGAGTGTGATGGGAGTGACACGTTTAGCCGCCCACGATTAGATTTTCTTCACCATTGAAAAATCTCTTGCTTCATCAGTCGGAGGGGTAAAGAGAAAATTCGTCAAAGGACTCCATCAAACAACTCCGGGAAATATGTCCACCTTGTTTTCTCAAATCTTTAAAGCAAGCAACTATGTAGTATTGGCGTGATAAGTGATCAATCACTCTCAAAGAAGGGACTTCTTCATTGCTCTCATCAGGAATCTCAAGACCTGCATGGAATGGCCTTTTTTTTTTCGTGTAAACGACCTTATAGCCCCATTCATGTTTGTCCCAACAAATCCCTTCGAGCCTTAATCTCTGTTGATACGATAACAAGGCAACAAGTAGACAACAAAATATGTTTGTTTTTTTATGTCGGTTAGATCTTGGACAGAGTCTTCGCAAACAAGGCTATTTCAAAGAGAGGAGTATTGTTACAGATTGTTTATATAATATAAAATAAATTAGTGGGCTTAAGGCTCGTAGGTTTAAGGTGCCCATTGATTTA